TAAAAACATTTCTGAGAGCTCTATATTGTTCTTTATGTTGTTCCGAAAACGGGACGCAGTTAGTTTTTTACGTACAAACTGCACAACTTTTTATATTAAAGAATTAGCACTACGATCTGACGCCATACGCTGTAAATTCAGTCGATAAAACAGATTCAGTTTAGGATCCCCTTAACTAGGGAAACTATATGAAGCTTTAAACTTTTAAACTGCTCTCCTCTAAAATTTGCGTTTTGGAGTTACGGGATTATACGTAGGGAGTGACGATATATCGATAGACTGGCGTTTGCTCCTCTCTCGCAGGGGCGTGAGCCATATAAGCAAAGAAGAAGAAGAAGTACTGAAAATTTATAGGTTCACGTAATCCTATAGATTGTTCAATACTGCCAGTAATAATGGAACAGGGCCTCGGTCGCAGTGATGAAAGATCGAGCCCGCAGCAGAGTTGCAAGATCGAGCAGAGAGCAACGAGAGATCGAAGCGGTGGGGGCACGCACACAAGCGAGAACCGTCGTCACAAACGACGATTCTTGCTTGTGCGCGATACTCTCGTTGCAGCGGGCTCGATCTTTCATCACTGCTCGGTCGTGCCGTTTACTTATTTATAAGTAATAATTTGCAAGTTTTAAGTATAAGTGAAAATTGTAAGAAAGAATATTATAACTATAAAAGTGAATAAAATTGTTTTTTTTTTTTTTTTTTTTTTTAAACTAACTAAGATCGCAAATCTTACAATAAAAGTTATAAGTAAAAGGTTTAAATTTGTCAAAAAAATGATTAAGCGTTAATCAGAAAATAATCTCTTGTAAAGTATAACAATGTGTTTATAAAACGTATGATTTGATCTAACTATATTGTAAAAGACGAGAGAATAACTTAGTAGTTTTAGGCAATAATCATTCAAATGATGATTGACAGTGATGAAAAAATTCTTTCAACAGAAACTGTCAGTATATAAAGGTTACTTAGTATCATTAATATAATCGTACAAAATCTAGGAAGTTTATTGATTTAATTAGAAACTGTTATCGAGATGAAGGATAAGATGGTGATAGGCGAGATTTTGTCGATCGTGCTAAGACGAAATAACGTGTTGAAAAACAACTTAACATTAAAATCTGTGTACTCGTTATTTTGTCTCAATATAATCGACGACTTATTTTGGCCAAAGGAACAAACAAAAACCTTTTTTTAAATTTTTCTTCTATTTATTTCTTACTCAGGAAAGATACAGAGATCGAGTACATGTACAACGATCGACGATATATAATTTGCACATGTTGATGTTTTATGTTATTATTTTCAATTACGAATGCGCAGTAGCCGTATTTTACACACGCGTGCATAAAGTATTCGATCTATATGTAGATCTATGTGTTGATCAACACACGATTACAGGATGCATTTTGTTTCGGAAGTTTTTGCCCCAAAAAAATGTCTAGAAACAAAATAACATCCTCGTAGATACGGACAATGTATTTCGCGGAATCAGTATACGATTGCCCGAATAAATGTCACGTACGTACAACACAAACACTTTACGAGCATACATAAAGTTTATCTTCTTATATAATTTCATCTCACCGTATATCAGAAAATTCCGTCTAAATCGTAACACAATTGAAGTATAATCGAAGATTTCTATTGTACGTGTGCTCAGATAGCGTTTTCCTTCCTGCTTTATCTCGTTGCCCTAATATCTAAATTGCAAGACGTCAACCAACAATAGTGGTTTCCAGGAGAGGAGAGCAAGAGAGTGAAAAATGAATAAATGTTATCAGAGGCATGTCTAGCTATTCTTCGAGACTGACAGGTACGAATCGGACACGTGACAGCCTTACGAACTAAAAAACAATGACGATAAAGTTCGGAAACAATACAATACAAAGAAAACACAGTAATGTTTACACTGTACGCGATACTCAGGTTTCTATTCCGATTATTCTTATTCTTCTGCTAATGATCATGGTAACGACGATTCACGGACTTATCGCGTCTCTAAATTCTCATTTAAGCTGTGCATACGTGCCTGAATCGTAATTTGGCGAGTGTGAGTGATTATTAACAGCAGAAAAATCGATTATTGAAGGATATAGAGATACGCTATAGCGTCTATAGCTATAGTAGTAGCGGTATATTTAGCTAAACACTTATTAAACACTTACAACTAAATGATACAAAGATACCCATCTTCAAAGCATATCTTGCTAGTGCATTACAAAAATGCACTTTATATAAGAATATATCTTGTTTTTTTTTGTTTTACTTTTTTCTTACATACGGAAACATTCGTGAATACAGAGATTTCCATAAATGTACGATACGTTTGTTTTAACCAAACTATTTTTTTGTTCGTCATGTAAATTATATAAAATTATGTTATACACTTCATATGTATTATCAAATTTTTTATGAGTTTTTTCTTTAGATATTCATCGATAAAAAAAAGGAGTAATGTAAATAACATGAACAAAAAGAAAATAAAAAGTATAACTACTGATTCCAAATCTCTTACATGTTACACCTCTTACTCTCTATGCGTCGCAGAAGTCCTTGCACTCCGAGACAATATCAATCACATCAAATGACATTGATGGCATCACAGACGTTGGTACAATCACGTGAATTTCCCGCGGCGTAATTGTTTCCATTGACTGTTGATGCGTTCTTTATATAAATACTATTTTAATTATGGTGTGTGTGTGTGTGTGTGTGTGTGTGTGTGTGTGTATGTGTGTGTGTGTGCGTGTGTGTGTGTGTGTCACGTGGTTGCGGTTTCCGACGGTAAAATCAGACATACGGTATACACGTTGACTCCGGTTTACGTCCAGTGTCATCAAGATTGTCTGCTCGTCTTTGTGAGACGTGACACACATACGCACAACAAACAATTCAACTGCTGCTTCTTCGTCATCGTCGTCTTTTTCTCTCTTTTTTTCATTCTTCTTCCTCTTCTTCCATTGAAGGAAGCTGTCTGATCGTTGCTCATCGATCAGGCAGCTTTCTCGGCTGCATAACGCTGATCTGCTTTTACGAAACGAAGGACAGCGGGCAATGGATGGTTGTGATTTACAGTCTAAATGGCCCAGAAGAACATCTGTGGATTGGAGTGAGATAGTAATCTCGCAGCGGTCAAGTGCATACGAATCCTTCCTGTGCCAGTGTAGATGCACTTGTAGGTGCTTCCTACATTAACGGTACGAATCGTGGTGAGATAAAGCGTATTATAATCGCAAAGAGATGATGGACGTATTTCAATGGCAGTTTTGTTTGTCAAAAATTTGATATTCAATTATTTTGATACTTAATCACAAAAATTAATTTAAAAAATTAAAAACATTAAATTGATTAAAGTTTTTAACAAATTTAAATCCTTTATTTATAACTTTTATAAACACATTGTCATACTTACTTTAATTACGAGATTATTTTCTGATATTTAATCATTTTTTTGACAAATTTAAACCTTTTACTTGTGACTTTTATAAACACATTGTCATACTTACTTTATTTACTTTACTTTTTTAAGAAATATTTTGATTTCTTTCTACAAAATATTTTTTATGTGTAGTATGTATAAATCTTACGTCTTTGTTGCAACTATGTCTTACTTCTTTCTTAACCGGCAAGTTCGGTTTATATTCATCCATGTAACCAGAATTGCTATCTTCTGTGTTCTCTGTGAACGTATTTTCCGGCTACAGAAAAATAAATAGAATATATACAAAATACATAACCGAGATGCATTATACTGAATCTTATAATGAAAATAAAATCAGAATATTTCTTTTCCTTTTCTTGCTTATCATGGTACGTTTTAGTGAACATTACATACTTGCTCCTCTGCGTTCTCATTCATTCGGCGTTTCTTTCCATTCGGCTCGAGCTGATCATCTGATAACCTTTTTCTGTTCACATTTGTAATTCCGCCATCACTTTCCTTTGGATTCCGCGGCGACACGCTACCGCTGTTCCCGATGCTTCCGTTTCGATGAATGGTACTAGAAGTCTGCAAATTGTTTTTACACTTCGGTCTTATTTAGTCAATTCTAATACTTTATCAAATGTTTCAATCTCAAACTTAAATTTCCAAAACTAATACTATTCGAACTAGGCATAATTTGAACATACATTGGAACTATTTTTAACGTAAGTTGATAAAATCTTATGTCACCAAATTACAACAAATAATAATAATAATTTACTCTCTCACCTTCTTTTCTCGTTTAAGCAAATTTGGAGGAACAAAAGTATGCAAGTCCTTCCTTTTTACATGTTTAGCTTCAACTTGCATTCCTATTTTCATCATGTTTATTTGTTCAGCTTGTCTTTCAACTGCATTAAAAAATATAAATACACACATGCAGATATATTTTTTATAATGGAAAATACTAGGTCACCAAATATGAAACTTGATAAATTTTATGTGTCAAATTTCATATTTTGTGATCCAATACAAGACACATAAAAGTTAAACCTACTTGTATCCACAAAGGATTTAATATCGAATGTGAGATCAATATTGAGACTTTCACTTCTAGCAAACGCTAGGCCAATGAACCACATAGAACAGTGTTTGCCCAGTTCAGGTTCCAACGGTGGAAACGCTTCCGGATTAACGTGCGCCAGGACAATATGAGGATTTCTTTCTAACGTACCTGTGAATGTGAAAAAACATTTGCAAGATTTATTTAAATTATAAAAAATATAATTTAGAATAACTTTTGTTTTTTGCAATATTTTAAAATTAGTTAGGTGGGTATAAGGGGTCTCTCATATATGAGATGCAAATATAGCATCCTATATGAATTTAAGAATTGAAATCTCAATTCAAAAACTCGCGTGTAAGATTTACATATAAACATGTATATATATATACGCATATTTCCGCACAACATACAGCAAACGGCTCTCATGACCGTCTATTTATTTCTTAGTTTAGAAACTTTAAGATTTGTGAATTATTTTGTTACAATTTGTACCAAACTCAAATTATATGATTCAAAACTATAAATCTTAATATATAATGTACATGTTTTCTAACAATATATTTAATTAATTACCTATTAAGTGTCGTATTTTTGACTCGACAAGGCCGCACCATTCAAGTTGATCTTCTGCGCTTAAACTTTTAGCTAACAGTACAATATAATGCTTGTATTTTCCGAAAAAATTGGGTGGTTCAAACAACTTGTCCCACGTTGCTTTACCCATAATAATCTCTTCTGTTATAGCTAGTCCGTTTTCGAATGCTTCTTGCATAATTGTTCTAGTCGACACGGACACATTAAAAGTAGAATTCTGTTGAGGATATGCTGGTGTAATTATTGGCATCAAATGATATCTGTCTGATACATTTACCTAAAAAAAATTCAAAACGTTATTTTTGTTTTTATGTATGACACATTCATCCGTAAAAGGCAGCAGATTATTTACTCTTGGATCCCAAACTGGATAACCCAGATTAACATTATCGGGTTGTTTTAAAAGTACTGGTTGTGGCCATTTCCATTGAGAAAATACGAGAAAAAATTTTTCTATTAGTGTAGCAGCTACTGCATTGGGATAAAGCTGGCAAGTTCGCGCAACCAACATTGCCCACGATACACCACCAAGATAACCCAAGACATTGCTGTATATACCATGTCCTGAAAAAAGTAGCTTAATGTAGTAATATTTAGAAAAGTTACTATGTAAGAGATATGGCTTTATAAATTGTTACAACCCTTACTTTTGGCCCATAACTTTATAGCCCTAAGAGCTAATCTGAAATTCTCTATATTAGGTACTAAACGCAATATTTCATCCGTTACTCGACATCCATTGAGACTTCGAACACATTTCTGATCAAGATTTTTTAACAACATATCGTCTCTGAGATCCTAAACACAAATTACATTAATTAAATTTTTATACACACAAATACTTGCATACACACTTGTACATGTATTACAAAAAACAAAATTTGTCACATTCCTATACACATGTATCTCTCTCCTTCACTCACTCTCACTCTCATTCTCTCTCTGTGCGTGTATGTGTGTACAATATTACTAACCATTGAATCTGGAATTTCCTTGAGTGTTAACTTTGCAAATAGCATGTCAATTTCTATACCATCAAAATTCATTTTTATGACTGGTACAAAAGCCTCTTCTACCGCCTATGCAATATAATAAGTTATATGTAAAAGTTACAGAACATTATATAGATAAGATATAATATAAATGTTTATCTTAAAGACAAAATGTATGTATAATAAGAATTAAAGAAATATAATTGTATTTTAAAAATAAAAATATAGAAAATTTAAAGATATATTTATACACAAGAGAATATATGTATGTACTATGCAAGTTTTTTTTTACTTACCCTCAAATCCGTAACTTCTTTCTGCATTTTCAACAATTCAAAAAACGATGTAAAGTAATCGGATCTGTATATATGACGGGGAGCCACACACAAAGCATCAATATCAGCACCTTTATGGTGGACACCTAATCTGTATGATCCAAATGTATATATTTTACCACCAACTTGGTCTGCCACATTTGGTGGCATATTTCTAGCAATACTTGTATTTCTAATCCATTGTTTAACCAATGCGTTTAATTTACTGGAAATATAAATAAATTTTAGTAACTGATATTGTAGTAACTGATATTATAGTAACTGATACAATGGAAAGAATATATTGTGTATAATATTAATTATCATGCACAATTATAGACAACTGCACAAACTTACCTCAAAATTTCCATCCTGTGATTCAACTCTTCTTCCGATTCAAAAACATTGTAGGGTTTTAAAGCTTCTTTCAATTCGTTGGTTCTGGTAATATCAATAGGTTTAGGTTCTGCTATACTAATAGCAGATGTCATACCTAAAGTACGCAAGTTGTTCTTTTCATTTGATATAGAATTGGGAGTTGAACTATTACTTTGCGTCTGCCACATTATAGTTGTTATGTATAAAACCTGCAAACAGATACTTTACCATGTACAATCTACCACTAATACATCAACTTTCGATATACTTATGTTTCTTGTAGAGAAGAAAGACAAATCACATGCTGTATAAAAAAATAGATATATATACAAAAATACATCAAAGAGAAAGAAAGAATCATAGACTAAAAGATGTAAATATAAAAAACATCCATGTTTATAAATTTTTATATTGCATACACACAAATACATAACAAATACAAATATATATGTAACATATATATTCACATACTTAGTCGAATAAGGTAGTGTTATATGAACAATTCGATCTAAACAAAGCTCGATGCGTCAGCGATGTTGGTACAACAAATGGGAGAACAAATGGAGTGCGAAAACAAAAAGGGGCTAGACGACGCGGAAGTATCTTACCGCTTGATAAATGTTTTCGTCAAAGATACAACGGCATGTTAAATAAAGTACGAGAGAAGACGAAGTATACTTCGGTCGTGATCAGGTTATAAAATGCACAAATACACCACGCTAGCAACAATGCGTTCACTCGCGGGAGCCGAAGCGTGCTACTGGAAATAAATTGCACGCACTTTGTGTCTGAGACAGCCACGCGGGTGTATTGGTATAAAAAAAGTTTATGCAAAAACACGACGGAGCACACTCACGAGGAAGATTGCGCGAGTCTCTCGCAGTTCTGTTACGTGCGTTTACACCGAGGGATTTGCGCGGCAGCGCTACTTTGACGCTGCGTCTCACGTCGCATTAGTCAGATGCACGCGATAAGATTCTCTATTCACGTTTCACGCTACGTAAATAAATAAAGCAAACATTCTAACGCGAAAAACTAATGAACAACACGTAAACGTAACCCGCAACACAATACACCACCTACAGTATAAACATGGCGTTTTGGCTTGTTAGGTTTGGTTTGGTGCATTTATGCCTCAAGAGATTTTTTAAGAGCCAGTTCATACGCCATTCTAAGGTCTATATAGGGATCTCTTCACTTATGTACACAGGCGACACTGTGCAACCATAGAGATCTAAGGGTCTAGTTTCCATCAAAGCATTAATTTACACCTAAGCTGTGTTCCGTTTAGCCTGTTCTACATTGATCGCAAGCGCAAACGCAAGGAACAGGTCTCGTAGAATTGACTAATCGTATTGATCAAATCAGCCAATTGACGAGCGTGATTGGTCAATTCTACGAGATCTGTTCCTTGCGTTTGCGCTTGCGATTAATGTAGAACGGGCTTTTCACGCATATGCGCGCATTTGTCTATACAGCTCGTTCTACATTGATCGCAAGCGCAAACGCAAGGTATAGATCTCGTAGAATTGACCAATCACTCTGGTCAATTGGCTGATTTGATCAATACGACTAGTCAATTCTACCAGACCTGTTCCTTGCGTTTGCGCTTGCGATCAATGTAGAACAGGCTTACTATACGATAAGGTCTATCTACATAAGACGCAGACGCAAGTCGCAGTGCGACCGATGGTGAACAAAGTGCAGGCACAGCTACTGCACGAGCACAGACGTATAATATATAGACTGCGCGTTTGGCTGAAAAGATGTCTTCAACGTTGAGAGAGACAACATATTTTGAATAGTAACTCTTTCTCTGTCTATGAATGTCTGTGGTGGGATCAGAGCATATATATAATACTCCTATATTGCTCGTACGGTGCCGACCTGAAGTCCACATGTTACGGTGCAGACAATATAGTAGCCTCTCTCTCCAGCTGCTTTGTGCGCATACGGTGAACATTCAAGCACGTTTGGGCATTTCTCTTTCTCGCGTTCTTTCCAATGCTTTGTCTCGCTCGCACTCGCTTAGTAGACGCGCCTGCACATAATGACGCTCGACTATCTATGCCCATATTTGGACTTCGTGCGTCTCTCTTTCTCGGGCCTCGTGCCTCTCATTGCGAAGATACGCGACTAGCAATATAGGAGTATTACATATATGGATCAGGGCCTACTGTTTCATACCACCTAACCTATCATCACTTCTTAATCTCTTTCACTTTTCTTCACCCCCACTATTTTTCTATCCCCACTTTTCCACTATTCTATCAATCAGCGAAGACTTCTTTTTTTCCCACTACTTCGATAGACAAAGACGAGGCTACTGTTCAACACCAGCTGTCTTTCTCAACGTTGAAGACATTTTCTTAACATGGCAAAGGTAGGGAACCACTGAACTCTATATACACTGGAATGCGCATCGAAGAAAATTTATGGCACAAATTGATCAGCGCCATTTTTGTTTGGCCTGGTATTTGAGCAAATCAGAAGCGCGGTTCCGCTATAATGTGGATGACGGAAATGAAAAAGTAACAAAATAGAAAAAGTTTCTTTAGAAGTTTGTAGTAAGAAATTTACGTAAAATTAATAAACAAAATTAATAAACAAATTAATAAACAAATATGTATAAAAGGACTTTTGCTCGTTAATACGATATAAGTATAAATTTACCCATTAATACGATGTAAAAACTTACCGTTNTTAAAATAGTAAAAAAGGCACAAAGTACACGCGCGCTTGTTACAAAATATCATTGTATCTTCAAACAAAATGGTTTTATTTTAATTATTTAAAAAATGCAAATTATAAAAAATTCAATCATTGCAAAAATTCATTCAATACAATTTCAATTACAAATACAATTCAATACAATTCAATACAATTTCATTTCAATTATAAAAAAATGCAATATTATTTCTATCTACAACATCCTAACCTAACCTAACGATTTTCATCCTACATTGTTAATACATGCAACTGATATATTTACCCCAAAATCCTTACCTATGAAATGAAATCCCCTTTTCACTTCTCTGCTCACACCCGGGCACACAACAGGTCTGTTCTTTTTATCTGAACTGGCTGCGCTAGTTCAGAGTTTATTTTTTTTTACTTCACATTGGAAAAAGAAAGATAAACTCTGAACTGATGTAGCCAGTTCAGGTAAAAAGAACAGACTTATAAACATTTCATGTCGCTAACTTGTAGCGGGACCGCGCGTGGAACGCGCTTCTGATTTGCTCAAATATCAGGCCAAACAAAAATGGCGCTGATCAATTTGTGCCACGTCTCGCTATGCTTGTTAGATGGAGATGCGCATTCCAGTGTATATAGAGTTCAGTGTAGGGAACGCGCAGTCTATATATTATACGTCTATGGATTTATCCATGAAGTAAGAGTAAGAAGATCGAACTTCATAGCGCGTCAATGGAAAAAGTGGTCCCGATTTTGACGCCTAATTGGGAGGGAATCCGCTCAAAGGAATAGTTTCTTACGGTTGGACGCCTATTGCAAAACTACCACATGTACACATTTAGTATATGTAACTATATTTATGCTCCGAATCGTGAGATCTTTTAATGTAGAAATTTCTCAGCAATACAACAAAATAAAGTGATAAAAGATTTATAAGTTTTCTGTTTTACGTGCATCGTGTTATAACGCTTTGGGTAATTGAAAATAAAATTATAAATACGCAAAATCAGACAAACACAAAAAGGTTAATAATGGAAAAAAGTAACATTGAGGAATTAATAGTAAACAAGACTATCATTATCAGGCTCACGAGTATAATGGAAAGAAATTCAATGGAAATGGAAACAAGCAGCAGATAAATTCAAGTATTTGCAAAAAAATTTGCATTTAGTTGAGCTGCCTTCTCCAAATTGGGGACTTACAACTGGAAACGACACATTTTTTGGTTTTGTGAAAGCAGAAAGTGATTTTAGTGTCAAAAAAAGAATTGCTGCGTAATACTAACTAAAAACTGACAGAGCTGCGTTCCGTTACTTTTTTTGCAAATGACGTCTAACCGTAAGAAACTATTCCCTTGAGCGGATTCCCTCTCAATTAGGCGTCAGAATCGGGACCACTTTTATATCACGGAGTTCGATCTCCTTACTCTTACTTCATGGATTTATCCATCTTTAGCGTCGAGCCAGCGTCAATGATTGTGCCTATTTGTGCCTACTTGTTTTACAGGCATAATCGTTTTGCTGCAGATATAGGCTCTCGAATTACTATCTGCTTTGTAATAAATGCTGCTACTAAATTGAACAACTCTTCAAATTGTGTAGGAGTCATATGGAAATAATTCCATATGAATCGTGCTTCTTCCAAAATAATAACAGGAAAAATTGTGTGGTAAAATCCATGTTTATATCGGTTTATGAATATTGGATTTACCCAATAACGTTTGCTACGATAATTCCTTTTTTTTGTTGTAATTCGTTTATCAAAACTGCTGCCAAAAGTTTTTTATGTCGCTGATTTTGTTCCGCTAATTTTTTAATACACTTGCTTAACCACATATAATATTTATTTCGAAAAGACATTTTTGACACGATTAACGCTAAATTTGACGTTACATTCTTTTTATGGATTTATTATACTCCAGCGTCAACTTTGATCACGTGACCTATTTTGACGCTAAAATGAGCGTCAAGCGTCAGCATGAAAAGGCGCCTTTATAGATCAAAGCGGAAGCGAAATCAGCGCAATTTGACAGGTTTCCATCGACTTAAATTTGATTCTACGTCGCATTAGGTGTGAATTAATGGGTGCGTTCAGACAACTTAACAGTTGCACAACGGTTGAGAGATAATCACTTATGATTGGATCATACTTTTGGAACTGTATCAGGTTTTGAAAAATAGTCTTATCATAAGTGACGATCTCTCAACCGTTGAGTTTTCTGAACGTAACCAATGCTTCGGTGGAAACTAGTGTAACACAGTAGGTGCGTTCAGACAACTCAACAGTTGCACAACGGTTGAGAGATAATCACTTATGATTGGATCATACTTTTGGAACTGTATCAGGTTTTGAAGAATAGTCCTATCATAAGTGATGATCTTTCAACTGTTGAGTTTTCTGAACGTAACCAGTGTCGACTTGTAGTTTAACATTTATATGACGAAGTTGAAGACAACATTAAAGAACAGAAATAGTGCTGGAGTAGTTGTTTCTCTCTCTTACAATAAGAGCGGTGGGAGACCAATCATCTCACAAGTCTATGCTATCACCTTTCACTATCACTCTTTTTCAACTGACTTTCGAACTCTATCTTCGTTGCTTTCGGCCTGCCGCGGCCACCAATCAACTCACTGCTAGAAAAGAAGAGAACTACTCCACGACTATTTCTGTCTCTTTTAACAAAGACTTCAGCTCCTCTTACACGAATGTTCCGTCTATTATATAAGTTTATGCATGGATGTTCCGTCTATTATATAAGTCTGCTTAGAATGGCGTATGGACTAACTTGAATCGGTTTTTTGAGCCATATATGCACCAAACCAACCAACCTATTATATAAGTCTATGGTTGGAACGCTTTTTAGCTTTTAATTTTCATCGTCAGAGTGCGGAACAATGGGTGCGTTCAGACAACTCAACGGTTGAGAGATCATCACTTATGATAGGACTATTCTTCAAAATCTGCAGCGGTTCCAACAATATGATCCAATCAGAAATGATTATCTCTCAACCGTTGTGCAACTGTTGAGTTATCTGAACGCACCCAATCACTTTACATAAGCAGAGAGAAATCTGAGAGCGGCCATCTTATTGTAATTTTTTACGACGGTTTCAGCCGCTGGTTTTAGCCGTCGCAGGTCTCATGGAACTGATCAATTACATTGGTCGATTGGCTGATTTGACTCTGCAATTGGTCAATTCCACGAGATCTGATACTTGCGTTTAATGTAGAACGGCCTTTGAGTTCCACTTTTGTGGAAATACGGCTAAAACCAGCAGTTGAAACCGTCGTAAAAAACTACAATGGCATGGCCGCTCTCAGGCTTCTCTCTGACATAAGTCATTTAAATTTTCCGGTATATATGCGTCATGAATATGGTATATTTTAAACTATCGCTAAAAAATAGCCAAAGC